CTCCGCGGCTTCGGGGGGATCGTTAAGATCCCACGCGTATGATAGAATGGAGCAAGGGCTCTTGCTGGTAAGCCTCTTACTTTATTCGGGAATAAAAATCGCGGTGGCATTTGAAGAGGCAGAGATAGCGTGGGGCCACGATCTCTCCTCCTCAGGTTTTTAAAGCCATTACTCTCCCTTTACTCGTCGCGGCTTCGCGCGGAAGCGGAAAGCAGAGGAAAAGTGCACGGAGATTCGACCAGCGGGGAATTAGGGCTTTCACGGGGAAAAAAGAAAGCATATCCAAGACGAGAGAATCAAAGAGGACCTTTCGACCCAGGTCGCGATTACTCTTCCGCTTTTCAAATCCGAAGCCCGAGAGACAGATCCTTAACCTCGACTTCGAACCCGACTCCAACCTAATTCGTCTTTAACTTCGACATCTCGGCATATTTCCCAGCGCGAACCGCGACTAATTGTCTCCGACAACGAACAACGTTATTAACGAGTCAAGTTTTCCAGACGACAAAGCTAAATTACCGTGGGATACGTACATACGGATCTCCAGCTGTTTCGAGTATGGCGATCAAAGTTTGGTATTTCCATATACCAAACGCAAGACAAGACAGAGGAAAAAGACGATCGTGCTGCAACCTTGTTCAAGCGACCTCGATGACCGAATGTCGCGAGAGTAGAGATTCGAAGAAAGAATTTGGACACGTGCAACTTAGATTTGCGTGTACAGATTCGTTAATGCGACTATTAAAGATGATTATAAAGGGAAAAGTGGATACTGAAAGCGAACATGAACGAAAAATAGGGAACACGACGTGTTCTTTCGACGAATGCTCGACGAAGACGGACCAACTCCTCGGAATCGACGACACAGGCGAGATCCTTTGTATCAGAGACGATTAAGTGAACCGAACCAAAGATTATCTCACACGCAGACTTGGTGCACTTACGCGAATCTCGTACATACGTTTCTCACGGTTTGAACAGTCGGATCGAAGATGTAACGATCGAATAGATTAACATGTGCCGCATGTGCTATATCCGCGAGCTCCTCGAAGGATCCTCGATTATTAGGGAATGTTTCTCCTGGCATAAGCTGACCCGGGTAATTCGGGCAAGGTTTAATTAGCGAATTTAAGTTGAAATTGGAATTTCCGGTAAATTATACGTCTGTGTAGCCTCTATAGTCTCTGGCGCGCTATTATTATGCGAAAGCAGACCCGCGAGCCCGTCTTCCCTCGGAATTAAATTATCGATTTCGGGCAACGATGAAATTCCCAGTAAAATGATGGGCGAATAATACGGGTTGATAAATATTCATAGTCTGCAGGGAGAAAAAATGAAATTATGCAAGAAGTTAATATATATAACACTGCCGGCACGTATCTACGTCAGCGTGAATTTACACAAACGCGCTTCCATCCGTTCCTTGTAATTCGTTCTGCCTTATTAACTCACGGGGAAGAATACACACTCGAGAGTTAAATGTGAAAAAGAGGAAAAGGGAAAGCGGAAGCATCGAAAAGCGTTTCAGGGATGGATCGAGTTACCGGAGTTGGCGAGGAAAAGCGGGGAAAAGTTTAGCACTCGAGAGAAATGGGATTAAACGCGTTTTGATATTTATCCAGAGCTGGGAAGAAAAAACAGACGAAGGAAGAAACAACAGTCGAAATAATCGATGCCTCGCTTGACTCGGAGTAATTCGACAAAGCAAAGGAATCGTCGAGTGTCGTGCTCAGACGAATAGTTATTTGCACTTGCTGCAAACGAACCGATGCTTACCCCGAAGACCGTGTTTCGAGGAGGCAGCTAATGCTGGGTACCTCGTTTGCGAGACTACGACGACACGTTCATTTCCGGGTGTACATTTTGGAATAAACATCAACTTACCGCGGCAAAGGAAACTCGGCTGGTATATTAATTATTTGCAATGCGGTTACGACATTCGTGAAATTAACACGGTGCCAGCGTGTGTGTATATTTGTCACGCGTATTGTACACGTGCCGCGTGCAAATTTAGGGTGCCGTTTGTTGTTCGTTCGTTGAATTTCTAAGGAAACCGAAGAAACGACGATTTCGCGACGCGAAGAAAATGATAGTTACGAGAGGACAAGTAGTATCGGTCGATACTTAGTCGGGCGTACAGGTACAGCGGTGCCCGCTTAACTGTCGCGGGTTTATCCCCACCAATTCCTGCAACTATCTCGGCTACTTTCTTTCATTTCGCTCGTGATAAGTCTTCGTAACAAGAGCGTAATCGAAAAGAAAGCCGAACAATTCTCGAAACGTCTACCTGCCCGAATAACAGTCGCGTCGCAAGCTGCACGACGGTTAGGCGAGCACGGCTTTACCAGTAGCTAGTATTTCTTCCTTCGCTGTTTTTATAATAACAACGAATCATTTCGGTAGGAACGACTCGTATAGATTCAAGTATGCCGACGATAGTTAACGCGATTTCGCGTTATCGTTCGTATAATGTGAAAAATTAGGTTAACGATCGAATCGTGAATGAGTAATATATTACGTGATAATGAACGGAGATTAATCCGCGAATATGACAACATAATTTTCCATTATTGTCCAGGGAAACGTCAAACGCCCATCGTGTACCCATTTTCAGTCGCAATTATGCAAATTTGTCTACCGTGATACCTAGGTAAAAATAGAATATCGGAAAGAAAACGAAATGGAATCGATCAGAGTGACAGGTTGGTTAAAATACGATGGAACGACGGGAAGAAGACACGGAGGTGCAAAGGATAAACGAGTGGGTAAAATAGACGACGATTGCTGCCGGAGAAATTATAAACAAATGACGATTGCCGTCGCAAATTCGAATTTCCACCTAAAATTCCTCTCCGAGGAAATTCTACTTTCGTCTAACGTTAATCTCATAAAGGGAACGAGAAAGACGAGCATGCGAGAGGACATAACTATGGCCAGCTCGGTAGCTTTTTCAGGAAATATTCAGACGAGCGTCGAAGGAATATTAAGAAATTAGAGCAAGGTCTTTGGAACGTGGGTTATTAAACGAAATTAAAACGCAATTCGCATTCATGCCCTAAGTAGCTCGCACTGTCTCTAAGACGATTGTCTGCTGAAACGCCATACCGACTCTGAATATTTGATCTCATTGTTAGAGGTAGAACGGGTTGCTAGGCTATCATTTCCCTTTTCCTTCCGAGTGATATTCGTTCGCCCTGAGCACGAGACGAGACATCTCTGGGACTAGAAGCTTTGAAATTTACCTCGCATGATAAATTTGTTTGTTGTTTCCTCCGCTGTTTCACGAGGAAATAAAGATCGACAAAGATCTCCCTTTCTATGCCTATGTTTTCGTGAAAATGGAAATTCCCGAAACAGGAAACTATCGTAGACTGCGGCGTAAATGGTCACTAGCGTGACAAATGACGCGATGAAAACTGGCAATGCTCGCCTAATTGGCAACTCCCGCGTGCAGAGGCAACCATCTATCAATTCCCGTATCGCCAGGTATCGAGATCGATTCCACGGTGAATTCGTCGGGTCTGGATAGATCGGAATATTTGCTCGGGTACTATTGTATCGTGGAATTAATAGGAGCTACGTAGATGGCGGGATATTCATTTTACCGTGGCTAAGTTAATAATATAACTGACACGTAGATTGGCAAATTGGAATGCAACGTCCCATTACGCTGTAACCGCCGTAATATCATATGGCAGCTCAATTTCATTATTGTGCTCGGAAATTAATAATCACGCAAATTGAATCGTACATAGAGCCGCGTAAATGAAAACGTGTTCCGGACATTGGATTTTTCCTTGCTCCTTTATTTCCATCGACCGAACGATTTTCACCAACGACTCGTGCTCGCGCCACATTCGTTTCGCATTCGTAACCAAGCAAACATTCTTCGGGCAAAGAAATCGAATTTTCCGGAGTTCTGGCAACCGGTTCTATCGGATGTAACGAGAGCGTAACGACATTGGCCGGACCATAGAACGTCACAGCGACTTTAACCTCGTTAAGGATAACGCGAAAATCAAGTTAAACGACCCTCGCTATTTACCCCTTCTCGCTCAGCGACACACTGCAGGATGCACTTAATTACAGGCCACTCTCCCGATTCGCTCCGGCGCCAATACCGTTTAACGTAATTTTTTGTTTAACGTAATTCGATTCTCGCGATATCGCGTTAGCTCGAGACCTAGCCGAACGTTAGTCGCGAGAGGACTCTTTCGTGATAAGGAATATGATCGAACGGTGATCGGGAACCCCGTGGAAAAATCAACCTGATCGTTACCTCGCAGGCCACGCGCTAGGTACGCTATATCGCGTCGCGTAACTACGTTAACCCAAACCGTATATACACACGCGGATCCGCAAATACAGTTAGACACCTGTACACGTACAGCGTGCCAGGAGTTAAGGCTAAAGACTCCGGCAACCGGATTAAAGAGAAATTTCCTTTTAGGCGAAGGAGTAGCGAGGCTGCTGATTCCGAGGATGAAGAACCTAACCGACATTTCTTTTCACTACCGCTCCTCTCCAGACTGCGTTCCAGATTTTTATGACGTATGCAGCGTGATAAAGTACACTTAACTCGAGCTCTTTTTGTTCCGCTGGGTATTTCAAGTAACACACCGGAACGCTTTTTCTTTGAATTTTAAAATAACTCGGCTAACACGACCCATATACGACACCGCTCGCGTAACCCGTCCTCTGCTAAACTAATTGAAATTTAATCCAAGGATAATCCACGCTCGATTCGCGCGCTTTTTCCTCCGCGAAAGTTCGGCCGAATCGCTCTCGTGGGGACGAAAAAGTGAATTCCAAGTGGGATTCGAAGTGGGATACGAAGCAGGATTCGAAGGGACCGCGTGCCAATTGGCCAGATACGCTGCTCGCGAGAGTAACGAGGATAACAAGGAGCTTACGCGGTGGATGGCCAATTTGTATAAAGATTTTTGCGTCTTGGCTCGGTTCAACCGGATAAATAGAGAAATAAACGAGAATGGACGTTCATCCGGTGCCGAATGTGGCAGCTAAACGGACAATCGGGAGGATTGGAGGTAGCCGAGCGGAATAATGTGCCGGTATGAATTATGTGGCTGCTCGTTTGGAAATTTGGCGAATTATCAGCCTCGCCCGTCCTCCAATCACGATTATTCAGAGGAGCAAGCGTGAGTAATAGGAATCGAATGGCATCGGCTGTGAATTAACGTTGCTTTAATATGACATAACTAGACATTCATCGCCTATCGAGAGCCTGAATCAGACGTAATAGAGCTATCGACTATTGGCCAATTGTCTATTCGCCAAAAGACTGGATATAGACGCACGTCGTATTTCGCGCAACCGCGTTCTTCGATTTTCCACATTTCGATTAAGCTCTGCAACTTAACCGCAAACATTTCTAAGACTAGACGTAGATATATTCGGAAAGCGATCGCATCTAGTTTGAAAGTTAGCTCGACACTTTGCCAACGATAAGAAGTTTCCGAGTTTCGCCGAAATTTGCGTAGCGCGCTTGATGATGCCATTAGTCGATCATATTATTCGTGATAGATTACCATAGACGCGAAGGAAGTTACTTACTGTCTACGTGTACCCATTACTCACGCTTGTCAGAATTTTCTTCGCGTTAAAATCGGTAATCCCATTTCGTGGTAACAGAGGGACCTCGCTGCAGCCCCGTTTCCGCCTTCGCTACACGCTACGCGCAAACTTTCGCGTGCACGTTTCAGCTACCGCTTCGAGTTGGCAAATTTGAAAAATGCGCGAGTTTAATCTCGTAAGCGGTAAGTACATCCCACTCGAAAAAGAATATAGAACGAATAACGAGCACTCGTTTATGATTCGCGCGTTACAGTCGCATCGCACTCGTCGAAAGGGAATACGTCGAATTTGATATTCGGTTAAAACTGCGCGTATCGATCTTTCTAATTGTCATACGCGTCGATTTCGGTGCTATTCGTGATGGAATAAAAATCCAGGCGAAACAATCGGGAAACGGGTTTCGTTTAAGCGAAAACAGTTGCGTTATTGCGATTGCGATATATAATTCAATGGTAGCAAAACTTATCGACTCGCTACTGTTTCGCGCGAATGCCTCATTTTCCACGTTTAATACATCGATGAGTTCGCTTTCGTCGATTATTTTTTCCCATTGCGCGGCCTTTGTGTACACGCTATAGAGAACTCCTCGTTAAACGTCACGTCCGTAGAGAAATGGCTCGCTGTTAATTACGATTGATGCTTTGAAGAAAATGCCCGAATCAATCGCGATGCTACATCACGATGGGTAGGTTAAACGGCGAAAAGACATTACGGTCTACCGTGGATTTGTCCGACGTTTAACGAACACCTCTCATCTGCTCTCGTGACCAAGTCGATTCGCGTTCCCACGCGAAATAGAGGTAGGGTATACCGGATACAGATGGTATATCGCGATATTCTACTCGTGAAAATTTCACTATCGCTAAACTTTCCGAAGAGAATATTTATTATCCGCGCTTTTGCTCTCTTACTTTCGCTCTACTTTTTCCCTCGAGTAAAAAGTTAATTACCTTCGGTTATAGGATATTCCATGTAGCTTATTCGAAGCTTCTAATGAGAGCCTTAGGATACGTTTAATATAGCACCTATGAGAAAATCACGAAGGATACCTCTCGTATCTCGTTTTTCACATTTCGGAGCACCTGGCAAGAATAACGAAAAAGACCCTACTGGTGAAAAGATGACGTAAAGACAGAGGACGATTAGATAACGAAAGGATATCTAGTAATAGTAGTTAGGTAAAAAGTAACCGACCGTACTTCGTATAACGAAAATAATTTTTGCGCGAGAGAAGTATGAAAACGCAAAAAAAAACTTTTGTCCAAACTCATTATCGATCACGCATAGATTGGATACTTCGCGAATAAACACTTGTTTTTAACTTGACCCACTTTCGATACAATGATCGTTTCATTCCAAACTCGTATTTCGAATCGAGATTGACCGCCGATCGTTATTGATATCAATTTTAATTACTTCTGACTGAATTGTTTGGCTACTTTAATAAGATGAGTATAACGCCAGTAGTAAAAGTGAGAGTCGAAAGGTATAGAAGAGCAGGCGAATTATTCCTATAAAATCTCTGATGAAACATCGATGATTTGCGCGAGAGAGCGAGAGATTTAAAGGACCGGTAAGCGAAAGGATTAGACGAGCAAAGCAAACGATCGCTGTGGTTGCATTTGTTAGGGGTTGATTTCGAAATTGACGTCGGGAACTTGGAAACACGAGGGAAAATACATGGAGGCAGGAAGTGAAACGGTGGAAAAGCGATTTTATCGCGATAACTATCTGTAAGTGAAATTCAACGCGCTTCTCTTTCGTTCCCGGCTGTTAAGCAGCTTTGTTTGCATCTCGTTGTTCGCTAATGTGATTTCACCCCTTTTAGACGATATCCCGCTTTGCAACGAGTAGGCGAAGAAAAATTCAACTCTCTCCATCGGCAGTTTGCTCAGCCGTTGAATTGCTTAAATTTCGCTGCCGCCGATACAGCCGTGCATCCGAATTATTAAAACGACCCGTGTAATCTAGAAATGTAACGCTGTTCGCTTGCAGCGAAAACAAAAGTTTCCGACGAAAAGCAATCCGCCTTTCCTTCCAAAGCAAGAGAGATTGCAATTTCACGAACGATTGCTGGCATCACGGGTACGCCAATTACACGTAACGAAACGTTCGTGCCTTAAGATTGGATCGCTTCTGATCAAGATATCTTGCAGTGAAGATCGTGCAAGTTTCTACCTTATGCCATGGACTCGGAGAATAACGATGACCATTATCGAAAGAGCGAGAAGGGAACCGTGCCTTTTCATTTCCCTTCAATTTCCGCTTCCGGATGAGTATATACTTGCTTACAAAATTTCTACCTGTTCTAATCCTTTATCACCTAGGTCCTATGTAGGTCCTATGTAGGTCCTAAAAATCAAACGTAGCAGATGACACGTTAAACTGATAGAAAACTAATATTCAACGACGGCAATTGAAAAAGAACGAAGCAAAGAAGAGGGATTTATTCGGTTTTCGTGTATTACACGCACGTATTTCCCAAACTTAAAATTGAACGATCAGCTATGGCAAAGCTTCGAAGAATGAAAACAAAGAAAGGTATTCAGAGATCGTACGTGTTCAAATATCGAATATCGGCGAGGCAATTAATCTTTGGTTGATATATCGAATATCCATTATATTTGGATATAACCTCTCTGTCGTTTGGGAATCTCATCGATCCGACATTAAATCTCTTTGCTATTGTGCGAAAGCAGAATTCATCTCGTATCTGGACATTTATCGGATGCCAATGGATCGACTGGACTTACCTGTAGGTAATAAAGGCGAAAACCAGAGCAACCAGGGACAAGCTTCCGCCCAGAACGACGATGAGACTCAAAACTCCGTCTTGGTCGAACGAGCTGGCGATTCCCGTGGAGATCCCATTAGTCAGGCCACCGTTCGATTGGGGAAACCCATGGATCGCTCCCGTGTAAAGTGTCTCCATTTCTTCGCTACTCTCGCATCTGCGATCATCCATACGAAAACGTTAAACTTTCGTCCACTCTGTTTCTCGCGTTACTCTGAAAAATTACCAAAAGTTACTAGTTGGCGCATATTACAGTTCTCGCGAACGCGTTACGCGTTGGCCTACAGATACATCTGCGTACGTAGAAATACAACGAAACGTAACCTCACCGTTCGATTCGCGAGAGAGAAAAGGGATGCGATATTATATTTATCCGTTTGAACGAGGCTCGAAAGAGACATAAAAGGGACACGCGAAGTAGATATAAAGGATAGCATCTCTGATTTAATCTAGCTACGCGACATAAGGGATTTTGATTTATGATCTCTATGGGAAGCACGGGGGAGCATGGGAGCCGATTAAGATTTACGATCCTCTGAATTTGGTGCACGCGTAAATCGTACGTTACTCGTGTTACGTGGCTTCGTGGCTTTGGTTATTCCTTTAATTACTACGTATTTGCGTAGAAAAAGGTATTGTATCGTGCCAGAATGAGCTGACAGATAGATAGGTATAAATGATAAATAAGCCATTCGATAACGAAACAAAACGTTATACGTTTACGTTATACTTGGAAATCGAAGTGGAACGAGACTAATATTCTTTTCAGCCGGCACTGCTGAGGAAAATTTCATTTGCGATGGAGCCTCGCGTATCGCGGCAGGGGCAAATTGAAACAGGCCTGGTAATTTCCTGTAAAGAGGTGAATCAAAATGGCGCTCGACACTACCGACCACAAATTGCGGCCTTCCCTCACGAAAGTTGTCAGTAATAGAGAACATTTGTGACTACGCGTAATCACCATTAACGAAGCTAATTTATCAAGCGCAACGAGTAAAAAGACCGTAATTTCTAATTTTCAATTTGCAATTTCAAAGTATCATTGCGCATTATCGCTTTTTAAATAAGGACTCTAGCTCTGCCATAGATAAACCAAATGTTCAACTTTGTTCTCATCGGGCAAATTTTTTCTCTTAAATGTAAAACGTTTATGAACGGAAAGTGGAAAAGGATGAAAGAAAGAATTGCTACCGAATACTCTCGATACGAAGAGATATTAGATGGATAAAATTCGATATCTAGGGAAGCTTGTTTGAAGTTTAAAAAAATCGCGCGCCGATAGTCGCAACGGTCGCCGAGCCGTATATTCTTTTATCCGATTTCCGCACGGATTCGGCATTTAAATGTAGTGACCTTATATCGCCTCGATTTCCAGTTCGATTCACAACAACGATCGTTATCGTTCACAAATAATTTCCCGATACCAACGATGCGCACCTTTTTCTGGCACTTAGTGTTTTCTCGTTGTCACGCTTCCATCGCTTCCAAATATTTACGTTCCACTCTGCATTTGATGATTCCAATGATTATTTTAGAGAGTGTATCGAATCGTATCGATAACGGGAAATAATTCGCCGCCATTTCGACAATCGAAATACTTGTGCGCGAAAGCGATAAATACGAAAACCGATATTTCCTGCTTTCTATAAAGTGCAAAATACATAGTATCGCGGAATGATATTCTTCTTCTTTGATGTGTGAAAAAAAGAAATCGGTCGATCGAATTAGGCAGAATTAACGGTTTTAACTGTTCGTTTACATTTTTGTATTTCCCGCGCGAATTAAGGACAAATTCCGTTTCTCTGAACGATTAAGAATTAGATTTAGCATCCGTTCTGTCCTTTCCTATCGCATTCATATTGGTATAATAGAACTGTAAAAGAGCGGTAATAATGATAATATAATAGTTTTCATCTTGTTTTCCTTTTATACTTGGAAACTAGTTTCGTAATGAACGTTCGTTCGAACGAATAGTAGTGCTGAAATGCATGGTTAAAGAAACGCCTGAACCTCCGACTCCATTTTGATTGATAATAAATTTGAAAGGTTGGGCAATTGAAATATGTAACGGACAAACATGTAAGGAAACTCACCTTACAAGGGAGAGAAATAGTTGATCGGATGAGAAAGTTTCGAAAGATGGTGACCGATTCCATGGATCGTTTTATGTTTTCTTGACACGTGCCGGTAAACACGTGTTCCAAAGACGCAGATCGCATGTCCTCCTGAATTAACGGGTACCCTTGAAGGAAAGAGAGTTGGAAGATCAGGCCGTGTTATTTGGCACTTGTCGTTTGCAGCGCGTGTATAGCAATATCTTCCAGAATGCGTTCGCGCTCGGACATCGGACGATCGATCTCTTTTCGCTCGCGAGAGCTGAATGCACACGATCGCCTTTCTTTGCCCACGGAGCGAGCACACGCGATCGAAATATACACGCGAGCACAGCTACTCCAACTCTACCACATGTCAACACTACCTTTTATCGTACTCTCTCTCTCTCTCTCTCTCTCTCTCTCTCTCTCTCTCTCTCTCTCTCTCTCTCTCTCTCTCTCTCTCTCTGTAGTCTTATTGACGTCTTACATTCTTGATACAACGAACAAAAATCCCGCGAAACGATGTATATTTACCTGTTATCAAAGAAGGTGTAATTTCTCTTGCAAAGCATCGTATACATTTACTTTAGTAACCAACCGACATTCACGTACCAACGCGATTTATCTAATAAAAACATTAACAACTACAAGATTTCGCTTAACAATGATATCGATAATTCTTGTTTCTAAAGGATTAACGCGAATAAAACGGTATCACATAAGTCGACAAATGATCGCGCGATACGAAATCTTTACAACATATTTTCTGTTATTTAAAATTAATCAAAATAAATACTTGAGTTCGTTTAAGGTACAAACGAGTTTGTACGAAGAAAACACATTTTTTCTTGCGGTACAAAGTACTTGACAAACATATTACAAAAAAACAATTTACTCGAAAAAAAAAAAAACACGTTGCTGTAATTACCGCAACGTGATCATCGACACTGGTATTTAATTTAGAAATTACGCAGCAATAAAATGCGTACGAACTCGTCGAGCAACAGCGCTGAACTGCAACGAAATTTGTTCGCGCTCAAGTCTTCCGCGCATGCTATGTTGCGCATACACTCAAAGAATCAGTGGGGAATAAAAATATTTGAAGAAAAGGAACTTTTCGACAGTGCGATGTACTGCGAGAGGAATAATGGAAAGTTGTGATATAAAATTGAAGACAGTAAACAAAAATATAAAAAACAAATTCTTGTTTATTTCAAGTTTCGTACATAAGAAAAGTTAAGATTTTGTCGTGAGCTGTAAAATAAGCATTCACTGGAATGCTTATGCGACAGTTAACGTCGGATATAGAGATAAGTAAATAACGGTAAAGTAAGTAAAAATTTAAATCCGTGCATATGTACAGACACAACCTCATTCGTAAAAATAGCAAATATATAATTGCTAAATGTAAAATCAATCAAATTACAAACGCCAAATTCACACCACATTCTTTTGCTAATCAGAACCAATGGATATTATATATTCGAAATAAAGTGAAATTTGTCATATCAATTTACAATTACATCATTTTACATAATAACAGTTTCCGAAATTAGCGTGTTATGCACACGTTGTTTTCATCGTTAAATTAATTAATGTATAATAATTTACATTTCTATATGCACAAGAATCATAGAATTTACACAATGTTATATTAGCCCACAAAGAAGCTAAAAGTATAAACAATTAGAAGGTAAATCAGCCTATAGGGTTATAACCACCAAAAAATGCTAACTCCTTATATGCTTCGGCTATCCATCCAAGTAGATATCTTACTTTTCCTGTTGTTCTATCTGATTCTTTGAAATCTGTCATAACTTCCATTAAACAAGTTGAAAGACGCATCAACATGGGCTACAAATAAAAATATAAAAATGTATAGTTCCGTATAAATGATAATTATCGCAATTAACTTTAACGATTGTTATAAAAATAAGATATTTACCACGGGCCAGTTCTGCCTAAATAAAGCTACACATTGATCGCTAAAACAATTAATATCTAAAACGTTTTTCTCTATCAATTTTTTAATGAATTTTCCAAATACTGTCCAAACTTCTTCTTTTTCTGATTGAGCCAAAAGCATAACGTTTCTAGAACTAAATATTCTGCGTATAGGTGAATCAGATTCCAAAGCTTTGCAACGACTCATTGACCATATTGTTATAAATTTTTCTTGAACTTTTGGAATAAAAAGATCGCTTCGATAAGCAACTGTAAGTACGACAAAAATATTAGGATTACAATTTTTATTATATGACAATAACTTATATTTATAATATAAAAATTATATTCGTAATAACTTAATTCTTTTTTACCTAAAAACAGAGCGAAATCTGTACTAAGAGAATATAAAACCTTCTCAGTCCCCACAACTAAATCAGCTCTTTCATTTAAAGTCTGATATAAAGTATCCAATATCGTCGTGATAACCGTTATTGTTAAAGAATCACCACCGTTGTCGAGAATAAGCAATATAAATTCCTATAAAAATTATAATACGAAACATAATAAGTTTACATTTCATTTTATTTAATAAAGTGTGTGAAACACAAAAATAATTACCCTCATATTATCAGTGATAGTTGTTGGACTAATAGCATTGGGATTATGTTTTTTTTCTTGCATAGGTTCTAATGGAGTACTGTTCTTTAAAAATCTATTTAATTCGAGTTCCATATCTTTTATAAACAATGATCCACCCACTATATGAGATTGTATCCATTGATATATACGTTCCATAGCTAGTCTGATGGCAATTTTACAACACATTTCTTTTACAGGTGCCAAAGAATCTTCTGCCAAAAGAGATTCTATGGATTTAGTGACCCGCGACTCACAAATTCCTGGTATAGTTGCTTCATATTGACCTTTTAATTCTTTAGACACATTTGTAGCCAAAGTATTCATATCAGTTACCACTAATGCCTATATGAAATAATACGTGTACCGGTTAATGTAATTTTAGAATAATTTAAACACTGTATTATTTATTTTATTTTCTACAATTTTATGTAAAAAATTCGTAGTTACCTTAAAATCTTTGGCGTTAATTAATTGTTCTCCAAATTTTTCGGGTTGTCTTTCATTTTGTTTCATCTTTAAAATCTCCCTGAAATTATTCAGATTCGTTTCTCTAGAAGTCATTAAAAGTGTATTACATATGTGTTTCACACAGGTCGAAGCAACCCGTTCTGACACAAAATCAACTGTTTTTCGAGTAGACGCTGGTTGTCCGTGAAAGAATGCTTCTTCTAATTGCAACTGTTGAAATGTAAATATTAAAATGTCTCTCGTAAATAAATCTAACATCTAATAAACTTACCTCTAGATGCTTTATACCTGCACTTTTGGCAGATTTGTTAAGTTGACTAGAAACTGGTGTTATATGTTTATTTGAATTATAATTATTTAGATTTGTATTAGTATTTGATACAGATACATTAATCCCAACCAATGGACAACATATATGCAATGTTCTTTCATTGATAATATCCAATTTATCTAAATTAGATTTAGTTGATGTAACAGACACAGTGGGCTCTCCTACTAGCATATATTTTTGCACATATTGCTTATTAAGTTGCTTCAAATTTCGTAATTCTTTAACTTTAAATGTCTTTTGCCAAGTAGGATAAAAATCCTTTGGAATATTCGGTAATTCAAATAACCAATTTAAAGTGGATTTAAGAAGAATTACTGCCTGATGAGAGATAAAACTGTCAGATGTTGAATATTTATGAATATAATATAAGAGTTCTAAAGTTTGTTTATAATATGGTAATCGAAGAGACACAGTATCCATCATAGCCAAGTATTTTGCTATCCAAGGTACAGTTAATGATAATTTTCCTAATGCTATTGCATTATGTAAACACAGATGTAAATTTATTGCTGGTACGACCTAAATAAAAATCTTAACATTAGTTTCATGTACCAATAATACAAATTATAATAATACTCGGTTAAATTCAATCAAATTCGAAAGTAAGCAGTTGAATTCCTCTGAGTAGTTTTTCTAGGAATCAGTTTAAGCATTGCCAGATAGAGAAAAATAAAAGATATAATGGGAAAAGACGAGATTGTTACAATATGTCGAGCAGCGATAGTTAAAATCCGATACACAAATGGGATGTTACCATTAGAAAAATTTTATTTTTCTTAAGTTTTATATCATCTTTGTAAAAATGGTATCAATACATTATTGGAATTCTTCTGGTTAAAATGAATCCAAATACAATCTAAATCAAATTTCGTTTTAATCAAGATTCCAGGATTCCACCAATGTATTGGTACTATTTTCAGAAAAATAAAATAAAAATTACAGAAAGTAAAATTTTCTTTACTGTATGTTTACGTTTTTCAATAACAACATTCGTTCTCCTTATAAACTGTATCAACAGGTTTCATTGAACTCGAGACACTGAATGATGAGGGAAGAATGAAATTAGTTCATGTAAATTTAACCAAACATTATTATACATATAAAGCAAAGAAAGTATATTACTTACTTTACTTCTTACTTCTACTTGAGTTGCTATTAATTCTTTAAAATTATTTGATTCTGACCTATATGGTAATGACACAAGAAGACCTAACACTTTTGCAAGAAGCCTTAAGCTGGATAAGCAGGTAATAAAATTTTCTTGGGTTTGTTCATCGACTGTTGTTTCTATTATAAAAAAGTAATAGTTATGTATCAATAACAAATAAAAATATATAGCTTATATTAATATTTTTCATGTACATTAATACCTGAATCTTCTATTTCACTATTATTAAACTGAGTATCATTCAATTCCATTATTTCATGGATTAAGCAATTTTCTAAATGGACATAGAAAATTGGATTGAAAGCAAATAATATAAAATCCTTAAAAAATTCTTGCACCCCAGGGAAAGATGGTTCTGTAATTTGATTTTTGGAAGGCTGTGGTGTTACTAATCGTTTCTGAAGTTGATTCAGCTTTTGTGGATTTACATTTTTCAAAGTTTTCAAAATACTTATACTTTCATCATCTTCTATCTGTGCCTGAAAATATTGAAGAAATCAAAAGGCTTATTACTAAACAGAATACAAAATCTTTAAACATATCATTTTATTGTTTAAACTTACTTGTTGTCTATTTTGTATACATGAAATCAAAAGTTGTGACTTAAATAATCTTGCAAAATGATAATAATTTGTAGCATCATTGTGCAATGTTAACATAGTTCTTACTTTACTTCCTAAAGCTATTTGAAATGTCCATCCATCCACTGAATGGTCTTTTTCCCATATTCGAAATATTTCATAAAACCTGTCTCTTTGATCTTTAAATGTTTGAAAAGCTGTTATAGATGGAAAATTTTCACGATTATCTGTATCTATTTGAAAACATACATTTAAGTCACCCATTGTGTATAAATGGCTGGAAAAAAAAAATAAATATATAAGTTACGAAAAACAATTTTTTATTTTAATATATAATATTTTATATCTAACATACGTTTAGATATTCATATTAAAATAAAAACATTCGTGTCAATATTAGACAATATATTTAAAAAAAATTCATTATAATAATCAAAATAAAGAAATGTTAAGTAATAAATGATAAAAAACACTGTTTAATAAATATTTTACATACAAAAATGTCATGAATAATGCAAAAGTTCTAACACATTTTATTTATACAACTGAAAGATAGTCTTCAGATATAGTTATTTAAGTAGATATAAAATTAAGTATACAATTGTAAATATCACTTAAATAGGTTAAAAAATGGAATACTTACATTGTATTTCAAAAATATATTCTTCTATAAATCTTCTAAACGCTCTCATTTACTTAAATCACTGAATACATAGCGTAAATATTGACCAATTTTTGAAATTTAATAGGTTATGTTCATAACTGTAAATACGTTTTAAAATAGAGCATTAACACAACTCCAACTTGCACAATATTGGTTCACACATTCATATTTTGTTAATTGAGAAAAATTTTATAAAATAAGACTATATTTTATAACATATATATATTAATGCCATAACACTCTACATTCTGACCATTTATAAGCCTCGTCATACGTTAATTCAATGGCATCCATCTTGCATTTAGAAGTTAACGTACAACACATCATAGGTATATCTTGTTTCTTTAAAAGGTAACATTAAAACAATATAATATGAATAAACATCCCTTTTATTAATTTTAACAACAAAGTACATATTTTCCTTCCTTTTTTTTCTTTCTTTTTCCTTTTTGTGATATACAAACTTAAATATATTAAAATAGTTATAAACATAATTTTCATACTTTTTTCATTTTTTGTTTACGTTTTTTTTACAATTTATTAAATTTTTAAGAAATTATCCTTGAGGTCCAATAAGAGGATAACTAGCGGTGCTAGCGATTCCACAATGGTTAAATTTATTTCTAGCCATTTTGATGTATCCATCCGTACCCCATGTTTCACCCCAACTATTCTTTACAAGCCAATAATCTTGATCATTTTCATCAGTTCCATATCCTACTATTAATACTCCATGATCCAACTCTTGTGAGGAGCACTCTGGTTCATAATAGACTCCTGTAATTAATATATGATATTCAATTTATTAAACTAAAAACCTGTATCCTATGAAATTTGTATCTCAGATTATATAAAAATCAAACAAACCTTCAGAATAAAATTGAAAAGACTGATGGGAAGCATCGATAGCAACAGAGACTGGTCCCATAGTAGCAACTGCTGCTTTAAGCTTTTTTTCATCTCCTTCTGGAATATCTATATAACCAACATCGAGCGCGCCTCTATTTTGTGGATCATATCTATGCATTGCAAGATAATTAATTATAACATTTATATAAATCATCTAGAAAAAAATCCCACCTTACAATACTCACCTACATTTATTATTTTCACCTTCATATGGATAAGTAACTTCTGTATCTAAACCATTATTTTTTTTAATATATGTAAAAGCTGCATCCATTAATCCACCATTACATCCATTATTACCATACTGTCCAGAGCAATCAATTAAATTTTGCTCACTCAAAGAAACTAAAACTCCTGTTCGTCGAAAATGTTGTCCTTCTAGAGATCCAGTCTATACAAGCATCATAACCCATTAATTTCATTTAAATATAGTCATAAATATAATTTTTATACATAATTCACCTAAATTTGATAATTAATTTTTCAATAAATAATTTATTGAATAAATTAACTAAAAACATTATACACTCATATTACAATAGAATTTTATTAGCTATTAGTAATCCTATCTAGACTCTTATCGATTATACTATTGTATATTATTCAATACAAAACTTACTGCTGAAAATGCCCAACATGACCCACAGTGTCCTTGATCTTTGACTGGAGTTACGGCACCATGTTCTCTCCAATCTATAGATTTTGGTAATTCTATATTAGCTGGTTCAATAAATGAGGCACCAACAGGCATCTTTTCAGATCTCAGTTGAGTATTTATAGATTTGTTGAAACCATTTAATGTATTCACAAACTCATGATGAAGCTAAAAAATGAAATTATATGACTTTAAGTAAATATGTAATGTAAAATTATTTAAGCTTTATAAAGCACTTACCATGTCTCCATATTTATTCATTTTCAATTTATATGGAACTTTCTTCATCTCATAATTGCCATTATGCTTAGCAATTTTATGTTTATTGTCCATAAATATTTTCATTCTAAATCTTTCTTCAACATCAGATCTATATACCTTACCATGTTCCATCTACAAATGAATAATAAAATAAACTATTTACTCCTTTTATTTTATTACAATTTATGACTAATTTATTAATTAAAAATCACGTTATTATTACAACATTATTTAAACTCCAAAATGTTTTATAACGTAAATAAATATTACAAAATAAACAACTGATTATATTATTTCGGAACAAATTCTTTATCTATGTAAGCTTTATCTATGGAAACCATATATTTATAAAGGTCAATCTGTGACTGTTATGTTTTATACATATAAAGATATCTTGAATGTTATTTGCTTATACAATATAACTGATTTATTTGAAGACATTGAACCGATATTTTTGACGTCACACAACATATATAAAAATTACGTTAACTTTATTCGATTACCTTGAATGTTGTCCATTCTTGACTAACTAGTTCAAAAAATGACACTGCTTGCACTGTACTAAATATTGTTATAACCAAAAGTAGAAACAGCTTCATGATTTTTAAATTCTATCTAAAAAATATACATATAGACATAAATTAATTACTTAATTTATAAAATTTGTTTTCATTAAAATGTATTTTCTAAAAATTGCTTTTCTTTATTATTTTCAAATTATATATTATATATTTTAAATCCTGTCAAAAGCATTAAAGCAATATATAAATTTGCTAATATGAAAAACTAAATAGCAACATATTTGTATCATTAATTTTATTGAAAAATATTTGTTGTAATATCTATTATTAAAAAAGGTAAATTCAAATATCATTTTGAAACTAATTCGCGTCAAATAATTTATTTTATTAATTATGCATTTAATTATGCATATTTCATATAATGAGCTTATTATGAAATTTATATTTGTACTATAACAAAAAAAGCTTTTAAATTTAATATAAAAACAAAAATTTTACGCTTGTGAATATTTTTTTCAATTTCTATTGCCTGATGTATTTATATGATATTATACGAAAATTTCTACGACGCACAAAACAACATTTCAACCATCATGGAAATTATACGAACAAAGAAACAATTACATGATACTCATTAAACGAATATTTGTACAGCAGAAGTCAAAGCTCAAAGTCAAAGCGATTATATTAGTGTTTTGTAGTGTATTTACCAACAAATAAATCGATACAGTATTTATCACCGCAGAAATATTGGTTAATCTTCTGAAATAGCACAATAAAAAACGCAAAACTATGGCTTTTTTTATTCTTAATATATTGTAATCAAAGTTTGACTTTTCGAATTAACTAATAAGAATATGTTTAACTTTCCATATATATTCGAATATCTGTAACCAATATAATTATACTATACACATATTAGAATAAAGAAATTTTTAATATGAAACGAAAATGTAATACAAAGGAAGTATAATAATAATGAATAAAGACATATATATATATATATATATTTACGTATAATTACAATTTAATTGTTATTAAAGATATAAACGAATTGTCAAATATCTTACCAAGTATAATTATTTGGTTACTGTGTGACAAACAAATTAATACCGACAACGTATTTTCTGTTACTTCCGACTAATATAAGGCACACTCTTTTCTGAACATTCTATGGTTTCCCCTCCTTCTCATGAATCATTGTTAATTTGTGTTCTGAGACAGCGTCTCCCAACTTCCTATCACGATATTAAATGATTCATTAGAAAAATAAGAATATTATTAAATGTACGTAATGTATGTATATGAGTAATAAAGATCAAAGTTTAAATAATTGATGATAAAATATAATTATAACATAAAAAATAATAATAACATGATATAATATATAATATAAAAAATAATAAAATATAAAATAA